ATTTACATCAAAATACTCAGCAGAACATATAATTAAGAAAAGAGCCAAGAAAACAGCTCATCCCAACTCTAACCTGAATTTGATCACTTGTGCATCTATCTACATACAATATTATTGCTTGGGTCAAACCCCATCTAGATGGAAAAAATGGCTCCAGGAAGGGCTTCAAAATGGCTCCACTTGGTTAATTAACTGCACAGAAAGATCACTTTTCAGCTACCCACTTAAATCAGATGTAGTCCCACTGAGTTCATCTTCAAAACTCTTTGTGTCTGCGTACATACATGCATCCATGCACACGCAATATGATCACTGACTTGCCCATTAAGCTTGAATCCCCAAGCCAGTTACTTCAACATTGTTTGACTACCATAACTAGCCACAGAATATATCATGATTTAAATTAGGCCAGATGATACCAGTATTTCAGCATTACAGACTATTAAGGCAGTACATACATAAGAACTATCAAGGGATACATAAACTCATCCATAATAAATCAGTGTAGACATTGCAAACTTGCACAGCCTGTGAAATTTCTGTACCATTAAAATGTCATTTGTTGCCTTCCTTCTCTGCTGAAATCGTACGTTAATGAGTAACATAAACAGCACTTTAGCAAATATCTGGATCATCAGGCTCTTTTGGAACAACTGCTTTTCATGCAAAGCCATATAAAGAGGCGCGAACATACCTTAGCTCTCGGTCAATGAAGATTTGCTCCATACTGTATTACCTATATATTTTAAACTAATGTCATTGACATCAACATTCCCATTAGCCGGATATTATGCTAAAGATCCAAGCCACGGGGGGAGGGAAAAAACCGGATAATCCATTCCTATTGGAACGGATTAACCGGTTTCCAATGCATTCCTATGGGAAATGGTGCTTCACATAACGATGTTTTCACATAACGATGTTTTGTTTGGAACCAATTAACATCGTTATGTGAGGCACCACTGTAAATCAGTGTAGACATTGCAAACTTGCACAGCCTGTGAAATTTCTGTACCATTAAAATGTCATTTGTTGCCTTCCTTCTCTGCTGAAATCGTAAGTTAATGAGTAACATAAATAGCACTTTAGCAAATATCTGGATCATCAGGCTCTTTTGGAACAACTGCTTTTCATGCAAAGCCATATAAAGAGGCGCGAACATACCTTAGCTCTCGGTCAATGAAGATTTGCTCCATACTGTATTACCTATATATTTTAAACTAATGTCATTGACATCAACATTCCCATTAGCCGGATATTATGCTAAATCACATTAAAAAGCAGCAGAAATCTAGAAGTGGCCAGTACATTCCATGAGATAGAACTGTCTGATTTCAGGTCATATTCTAAGTTTTTATGTTATACTATTGTATGCTATAGGCAAACCCCAATCAATAGGCAGGGTACACGTTTTCCACATGATTGGGTCACACTGCTGGAAACTGTCCCGAAGAGATCTGTCTTTCTTCCAACCTTTTCCTCTCATGACTGGCTTTCTAATCCAGGGAAGCCTTATCAAAGGCAAATTGGGAAATGGGCACATGGTTAAGGGGAAGCAGGCCCGTGACTGATTCCATTTCGACCCAGCTAACACACACGTTATCCCAGATGGACAATTTTTTAAAAAGGGGGTGGTGGAGGAAATCGCAGAAACAGAGAGATCATGCCTGAAGGAAAAGATAGCAAAATGACAGATCTATCAAACAGGTCTTTTTATTTCTCCCAAAGTATTGGATAATAATGCAGATTTTATCGAACTTTTATCAACAACACATCTGTGGATAGTTCAGGACTCTGCAAGTCGTTGCACTGATAGGCCTACAAGTTAAATGTATCAATTATTCTGGTTTCTTCAGGGATTTTGGCACGGCCACCAAGTTCTGTATAGTAAGATTCCTGAGGAGTTATTATAGTAGCAGTATTTCATCACAACTGAAACATCTAGCTTAAAGGTTCAACTTGACAGAGAATGTTCAAGCCAGTTTCTTATTGTTCTCCCCATTCTGAACTGTAGCCAAAAACTCAAGGAGGAGCTTTGCTGTTTTTCTAGGCCGCTCGACCACAACACTGTGTCCACAGTTTTCCAGAATGTGTACTTGACAGTTAGGAATCGACTTTGCTAGAATGTCAGCTCCAGAAACATCCAGGACCTAGAGGAGAGGAGAAGGTTGAAAACACATCGAGGGAAAAGGCGTCCCAAAGGGAAAATACAGTGGTGCCCCGCATAGCGATGATAATCCGTGCAGCAAAAATCGTCACTATACGGACTCGTCGCTATTCGAAATTAAAAAGCCCATAGTTATGCACTGAAACCCCTTTAATGCGTTCCTATGGGCTTAAAGCTTACCTTTTAAGCAAAAATCTTCCATATGGTGGCCATTTTAGCTGCCTGGTAAGCAAGGAATCTGTCCCTGTTTTACCCGGCAGCCATTCTGGAACCGCCGATCAGCTGGGGGGAAAACATCGTTATGCGAAAATCGGTAAGTGAAACAACTTACCGATCGCCACAAAGCGATTTCCCCCCATAGGAAACATCATTATGCGATCACAAAAGCGATTGCAAAAACATTGTCGCTATGCGGATTCATCGTTAAACGGGGCGCCCGTTATGCAAGGCACCACTGTACTGCATCATCAACAAATCGGGGGGAAATGCTGAGGGTCATCTTAGGAGGCAAGCTTCAGAGTGTAGAAGCTCAGCTCCAGAACTAAGAAATGGCTACATGTATACTAACAAGTTAGCATTAAAACAAAACAGTTAATTTGCAGACAGTTCTTTTGTGAAAATAATAAAGTTAGTATGTCCTATTAATCACTAATAACATATTAGTAACACCCAGTTTTTAAAATTCAACTAAAGTGGCTAAAAATAGCCATCCATGTCCAATTACTCCTCTAAAATAACATAATAAATATGGAATATTAATTATTACTCAAACCTGTCAATGTTATTTTGTTTAGCAGCAAAAATTAGCAAATGTTAAAATGTGATTTAAAATATGTTAACAGATAAGGAGGAATGTTTCTGAAGTAATTATTTCCAAGCTTCATTCAGTTCTTCGTAACAGTGGCTTTCACAGACATGGTCAGGTGTCAAGTTTCGCCAAAAGAAACATTCAATAAGTCTGGCATTGTGACACACAACTGCAATCCTCTTGAGGTTGGCTTTGTAAAATACTAAGCTTGACATTTAAAACGACTTCGGTTCTCGTAGAAGCCTGCCTCTCGGTGTACATGATAAGCACAAGGAAAGGGAACAGAGTGCCACTGTGACAGAAGCACAGGACAAAGATGTAGTTTTATCACGCATATTCACAGGGGGCCCCAACTGCCCCACCATCTCCTTGACGCTGTATTTCAGGTTTTGCAGGGCTGATTTCTGACAGCTGCAGCATTACTGCAGTGGTTGAGCAAGCAGGGTTATTTACGAAGGGGAGAATGGGGGTGGGTGGGAAGGGGAGAGATCAACTATGGAATGGGAAGAGGAATAAGGAAGCAGGGTTTTAATAAAAGCTAATGGGGGCTACCAATTGACTGCCTGACACATCCTTTGAACTAAAATTATCTGTGTCCATGTTCATCCAATTCATTTCATTTTTGTTCAACTCATTTCTTCCTGCTGGCTCACAAACAATCATAAAATGGCAGGGTTGGAAGAGTTCCCAAAGGAGCATATAGTCCAACCCACTAACAATACAGGAAATCCACAGTTAAGCCATTCCCAGCAGATGGCCATCCAACTTGTATTTACCAATCTCGGAAGCTGGAGAATCCATCATCTTCCAGGGTTGTCTTTCCCCCCCCCTTGTCAAACAGCTGTTATCATCAGGACGTGTTGTTTTTTCCCCCTTCTTGTTTTGCAATTTGAATCCTTTCTTGTGGTTTGTATTCTCTGATTCAGGCCCTGCCCTCTGGGACTAGTACAGAACATAATCATTTCCTCCAGCTCTCTGCTAATTGCTTCACATTCTCCTTGTTCAGAGCCGTAACTAGCAATTTTGGTGCCTGGGGCAACCAGTGCAAAATGTGCACTTAAGTCACATTCATGATGTGAAAGTAATACATGCAGAAATTACAGTCCTGGACCCTGTTCCAGAATTGCCCGTCCTCCACAGGAGAGGAATAGCAAGATCAGAATTGCAAAAATAAATCAAAAATCAAAACTGTGTGTCTGTCTGTCTGTGTCTTGTTATTGTTACATGTTGACAAGTCAAACCCAACTTACAGCAGTCCTATGAATGAGCAGCCTTCCAAAATGTCTTATCTTTAACAACCCAGCCGAAGGCCAAGGACTTGCCAACAGCTGGAAACACAGCATGCTTCACCAAGAGGACTGGTGAAGTTAAAGGCTAACTATTGCTAATTTTGCATGTTATATGCATTACACTTTTCATTTCATCACTGTATTGTATTTTGCTTGAAATCCATTTATTTTCCTCTGATTCCTATATTGCACCTTTACACCAGGGATCTTATTCAGGGGAAACCAATCTTATTCAGGGGAAACCAGACATACCTGGTCTTGCTTCCCCCAGACGACCTGTGTGGCTGCTTTGATCTTGCTCATGTTGTCATAGAGGGAGTTTCTTGACTTTTCACCTGCAATCTCTAAAAATACTTTACAGGCAAGGAAGAGAAAGAAGAAGGGAGCAATCAGTCGAACTCTTATTGTGAGCCAAATGTATTTATTCATTCTTCCCCTCTCTCCAAAGGAAACCAACAACAGTACTCTTAAGAGCAGAAAGTAATTCTGTGTGTATTATCTTGTGTTGTGAATACCTCCTTGCTGGGAGAAACAGGGTATCTATATTTGTATGGTGAGTGTTGTGCATATTTTAACTTTTTTTGTAGTGGTGTTGTCCAGTTTTACCTTGGGGAAGAGCACCTCATTTCGTTGCACCCACTTGTGAGTGCAATGACAAATAAATTTCTTATGTCTTATGTCTTAATAACAAAAAGAAAACTTCCCATCCCAAAGGAAGATGCATTCTGGAGTTGAGGAGGAGGCATTCCTCTGTTTTTAAATCTATCTCCTGCTCTGCAGCAATGAAAATTTCAGAGTTCAAGGTCATACACAGAAATCATTGATGTACATCTGCCACCAAGACTCACATCTGCAACTCATGTTCCTCATTCCCTGTGCATGCCACTTAGAGAGACTTACTTGCATCGAGACATCATCACATCATACACTGCCTTACCAGTGATGAGGCTGTGGGGAAATAATATTGCTAAGTTTGCCTAAAAATTAACAGGCAAGGCAAAACTCAATAGCACGGAAAGTAAGTATCGTTTTCTCAATATCTCTGTGTGACCGTCATGTCTAGTTTTACCTTACAAGTGGGCATGGCCTCAAGCTTCTATTATTAAACAAGTTCCAGAAATACTGTTTACCCGGGAGGGGCATGAATGAATCCATGTCAGCAACAGCTTCTAGATTTCAAGATCCTTACGCCACCAGTCTCATGTTGCAGTACCAAAATCCTAGTTAACCCCTCCATCCAGAGACTGCAGGGGTACACCTGTATCCCTGGATCTTTTGCCTCCTGAAATTACACAGGTGATCACTTTGGGAAAGAGAAATGCTAAACTAGACGACTCTTTGGTATGATGTGCACAGCCATGCTGTTCATACACAAAATCCTGAAGATCTCCACAGCTTCATTTTTAAAGTTTTCAACTGGAAGCATGGCTTCCAAGCTGGGCATTCATTCAAAGCCGATGCCACATTGGCCCTAGAAGCAAACGATGGGGGCAAAAAGGAGCATGCAACTCTCTGATGCCGGCTGTGGATATGGCTGGTGTGTTGAAAACATCCACTGCAACCCCTCAAAATCGGAGCCACCTAGAAGTGACTTCAGCAAAGGCATGGGGGAAAAAATAACATTTAAACACTTACGTTTTCGATAAAAGTCATTATGTGGGATGCGGACATCAACAAGGCCCTGCAGGATCTATGAACACATAACCAGGTTTTAGAAGAAGAACATACCAGCCACCCCCCTTCTCATCTGCTTCCTAAGAGGGGACACAAGGTGCAGCTTTCTGGACATATTGCTGAATCCCTGCTGGAGAGTCAGACCCTTAAGTGTCTAGTTTGTGTGTAATGTAACACAATTGAGGAGCAAATCTATTTAGAAACACATTCCAGCAAGAGGCTGCAGCAGGGAGGTTTGGGAGGCAAGGCTGTTCTGTGTTGCCACAGAATGAAAGCCACCGCAGAATTATATGCCAGGGAAGGGGTAAACATATGTGCCAGACCAACAGGGGCTCCTCAAGAGCCACGCGTACTGTTCCTCCACTCTTTTACACTACTGGACTGAGCAACAAGCTCTGAGGGGGTGGGATCTCCTTGTGTTCACTTGAACGCAAGCGGAAGGCTCCATAGCCACCAGGGACCTTCACAAAGCAAGGTTCCTCAGGATTCAAATCATGCCTCTCAGGCTCAAGAGCACTTCTTCAGGCCTCCCTGCTTGACACGGGAAGATCAGGGGCTGAGCAGGTGGGCTTAGGGCAGCCTCCTTCCCCACTTACAACTCTCCTGTGCTCAGACAAACACTTCAACATCAGTTTCCATACTGAAAAACTGGAATCCCCGGGTTTAAAAAAAAAAGAATGTAGCCTCCCTCTGTTTTCAAGATCATGTTATCCATCTGTTTAGCATTTGACCTGCCCTTAACATGCCTCCACATCTGAGTTGAGACTTCTCAAGGACAGTCAGGTTTGCATGTTACCCACACAGCGAAGGGTAATTCTTCAACAAAGAACGTACCGTTGCATTACATTCACCCACTCACTCCTTTCTTTCTCTTTTTTAAATGGCAAAATGAGCTATCTGCTGTCAGCCCAAACACTCACACAGCTGCCCACTAGTATTCAGGACAGACAGAAGTGAGAAGGGGAAGGAATTAAAGGTGACGAGAAGGAAGTTGCTGCCATCTCAAATAAAATTTAAAAATCTTTCAAAAGATAAGGTACACACATTTGAAGACTTTTTTTAAAAAAAAATGCCATTATGTTTCATCCAGAAAATCCCCAGAAAGGGCAGGGAAAGAAGCCTCAGTTTGAAACTCTGGGAAGCCACAACCACTAAAATGCAGCTCTGTGGTGGGGCAACATGTGGGAAGAAGGAGACTCCCTACCCCACAGTCCTCTGCAGGCCAGATGATATTGGGGAGGTAGTTATCCACCAGATATTTTGGGGATCTCAGTCCAAGTGCCAGGCTGAGCGGAGAACCCAGTGTTACTCCTGCCCATTGTGACTCTGCTGGTCCCTGCAAACAGTGGTCTAGAAAAGGGGGACAAGGTACAAAGAGTTTTCAACTATCCTGGCACATAGCAGGGAAAAACCACTTGATTGGGAAGAAGAGCCGTGTCTAAGGGAATCCTCTGATTAGGTCTAATCTCCGAGTGATCAGAGGAGAGGAAGTTTTCCCCACCCATGCTAGAAGGAGGAGGTGGGCCTAGAGTCACCTAGAATCACTCATTCTGATCCCCTGCCGCCACAGGCTTCCCCACTATGACCATACTCCATGCCTGATGAATATACAGTGGTGCCTCGCTAGACGATGATAATCCGTTCCACTGAAATCGCTGTTTAGCGAAATCATTGTCTAGCGAAAAGCATTTCCCCATTGGAATGCATTGAAACCTGTTTAATGCGTTCCAATGGGGAAGAATCGTCATTGTCTAGCGAAGATTGGCCATCGGAAAGCCGCTTTGCAAACCGCCGATCAGCTGTTTAAATCTCTGTCTGGTGAAGCTTAGGTCCTGAAAACACCTGTTTTGCGAGAACGGAGGGAGCTGTCAAAATCGTCATCTAGCGAAAATCGGTTTGCGAAGCAGGGACCAAACATTGTCCAGCAAAATTCCCCCATAGGAATCACTGTTTTGTGAATCACTATAGCGATCGCAAAAAGTCAGTGTCAACTGTCATGCATGGTAACTGTCTAGCGAGGCACCACTGTAATACTGTGCCATTTTATTTAGGCTGGGACAACACAGTTGCAATAAACCAAGTGAAATGGATCTGCTGCGGGTGAGCTGCAAAGAGGCATGACCCCCCCTTGTAACACACACCCAAGCTGCAGTGCTTTTTTCTATGTCTGAATCCAACACACTGTGGTTTGTTGTGATTAATGCAGTGGTCTCTGTGAGTATGTAAGTGGCTGGGTACAAGATTATCTGATGGGAATGTTGTACCCTACTCCCGCTCTCCATTGGTTCATCTCTGAAAATAGGTGTTGATGGCTTTGGACATGCCATTTTAACTAACAGAGGGGAAAAAGGAATCCGTCTCCCACACAAGTGCACAGAGGCACAAAGGTGGTGGTGAGGGGAATCCAAACACATGACAGCTGTGGAGGGGAAAGCAAGCAAGGTGGCAAATAGGGCAGGTGGGCAAGACGCAGGCAAAACACTGGCAGGGAAAAAAGGGTGGTCCTGTATCGCCCAAAACTGTAATGTATCCTTAAGGAACAGAGCAAAGAAGATCCAGACTGGGCACCATTTTGAACCACAGTATGGCCCGGCATTGTGTGCTATGACAGGAGTCGCTGAAGGTTTTTTCCAGTGAGTATAGTTTCAGCCTTGGTCTGCAGCAACTCATTATCTTTCTAAGTGTTATTACAGCATCCTGGTTTACTTTTGTAACACACCCAATTTGTTAAACTGAGGAAATAACAGCTTTCCTTTCAGACACTTTGGTAAGAACCCATCATTTTAAACAGTAACTGAAGATAAGACATCATTTCCAGAAACCTGAAAGGAAGGCTTCCAAAAGGAATTAACTTAGCAAGCCTCCCAGTCTGAAGTGACTGAGGAGTTGTTTCATGGTATTTTAAGCCGAGAGAGGTGGAATAAGCAAGATGAAAGTCCTCTGCGTATCTTTCCGAGATTGGACGGTGCAGGGGGTTAGACTGTAACCCCCAGAATCCATCAGCCAGCAGGGCCTGTGGGCATTCTGCAAGGGGATTCTGGGAATTTTAGTCCAAAAATTTAGCTTCCTCAAACTCCAGTATCTTTGAAATACTCAAGTCTCTTGATTATTTTGGACAGTTAACAAAAAAGTACCGAGTGGCTAGAAATAACCTATACAGGTACTGTACTAAGAGTGATATGGCTTCAGTACAAGCTGTCCAGTTTTATGCCAACATTTGCCAGAAGCACAACCCTCTTGAGCATTAACCCCATGTTTAATGAAAGACCACCCATCCCACCAGTTAGGACATCTTGAGGGCTAAAGAAGACCCTGAATTAAAGATTAAAGACATGCCCCCCTCCATCGTTCATCCATCTTCTTACCTGCTGGGGCACTTTAAAGCGAACATAAGAGCAGAGCTTCAACATGTCTCCCATCTCCTCAGGAGTGGTTGGAATTAAAGGGATCCGATCGCTGACCCCAGACACCTTCAGCTCCTGCAGCTGCTTGACGAATTTACTTTCTGTGGCATGTGGCAGCCCTGCAGTGAAAGGAGAAGCATGTCTGCTTACTGTGTTCCAAAATGAATACCAATTCCTCTCATCCTGCCAGAGAAAACATGCAAGGGCAGAACTATGGTACGGAATTAAAGGCACAGGAGCCACAGAGAGGGGCTACAAGGCCTTGAAGCGTCTCCCATTCACCATAGTTCTAGGAAGATTCCTCCACACCCTAAAGTCGTACGTTCCCCACCCACCAGAGAGCACTGCTAGCAGAAGAAGAAGGGTTTGCAGAGTGCATGATTAGTGGCTGGTGATTATTAACATTCATATCCCGTCTCTCCTCCAGTAAACTCAAGACAGCCTACATGGCTCTTGTGCTTCCCACTCATCCTTCCAACTACCCTGGGAGGTAGGCCAGGCTGAAAAAGAAAGATTGCCTGAAGCACTAAGGAACCATAAGCAATATTACCAGCAGAATGGGTTTGAGGGCATCTAAAAACTGGGCGGCTATTTCTGCTGGCAGACACACCTTTATTGTATCTGCTAGTCCTGCCCTTGATTACTGTGGGATGTTGCAAGAGCTCAATGTTCTCTTAATTGGAGCCCAGCTTCCTCCCAGGGCCTTCTGTACAAACACGCAGCATTTCCTTCCTTGGACTTTGGGCACCCATCTACTCTTTCCTTGGGAGCCAGCAGTTCACGCATATCACCCACCTGCGGGACACACAAGAGTTAGGCTGCAGATGTCCGCTGGGTACTGAGCAGCATAAACGCCTGCAACATTGCCACCCATGGAGGTTCCAACCAGGTGAAAGGGCTTTCTGTTCAGATTGACACACTCAACAAACTGCAAAACCAAAAGGGCAAAAATACATTGGCACAGGAGAGGAGAGCAACCTTTTTGTTAGAGCTGACAGAGGAGCAGAGCTTGGAAAAGTTACTTTGGGAGACTACAACTTGAAGTTCCAAAAAGTAAACTTTCCATACTCTGGAAAGACCTATATTACAGAGGCAAATAGATTCAGATGTTTATTTAGAGACGATGCCAGGACAGGCTGTGTAGGGACGAAACACAGGACAGAGTGATTTGTGACTCTTCAGTATTGCCATATTGCTATTAAGAAAGAAGCATTGTGGTGTACAAAACTCAGTGGCCTGGCCAAGCCGAGGAAGGGACAGGGCTAAGACCCAATCACTCTAGGCACAACAAATTTAAAAACCTAGACTTGCAGAAGCTTAAAATCAAAGAAGAAAAACAAACAAACATCATCAGGAATTATGTAAGCCTGCTTTGTTACAGAAGTGACTCTGTATCTGAATGGGTTACTTTCTTTAATTTTAAAAGAACAAGTCTGCACACAACTCACATGGATTGATCAAGTTTGTGTAAGAAGCCATTGTCACAGACACACACACACACACACACACACACACACACACACACACACACACACACACACACACACAAAACCAAGGCACTGCCTCTTCCCAGAAGCAGCAAAACAGGTAATTCTGATTCTGCTGGATAAGACCAGTTTAAACCAAAGTAATGCCACTAGATTCATTTGGACAAACTACAAAAGGTTTAATGACAAACAAAGCCCATTGTTCCTATTCCAAGCAGTTAGGAGATTTTTCTATAAAGATATTTGTACATCTTCAAACTCACATTGCTGCCTCAGGCAGAGGTGGTACCTTTTGGTTAAACTAAGAGCCTGCTTAGTGCATAGGAGCTTAAAGGAGTGTGCTTCTTTTAAGTAAAGAGAAGGGCAACAGGATTTTGTCTTTCTTTTCTTTAGAGACAGGAAGCACAAAAATGGGTGGGGAGCATGTATGGGTCTGGGGCCACATATTGCCCACCCCTAGCATATATAATGGAACATATATCATTTTCCTTTAATTAAACATTGAAGAGAAGGGGAAATGTGCCATTTTAACCTATTGGTGCTTTCTGGGAACAACAAATATTGTGACAGTGTGTAGAGAGAACAATTTTGGAAGCAATGTGCCTCTTAAATATAAGAATGGCATTGGCCCGATCTTGCTAAAAAGTGCATAGTTGTTGTTTTACAAATGAAATTTCATTCGTAAAATTTCTACAGCAATTCATGAAAAGCAAAACAACATATATCGTTTTCCTTTAATTGAACATTGAAGAGAAGGGGAAATATGCCATTTTAACCTATTGTTGCTTTCTGGGAACAACAAATATTGTGACAGTGTGTAGAGAGAACAATTTTGGAAGCAATGTGCCTCATAAATATAAGAATGGCATTGGCCCGATCTTGCTAAAAAGTGCATAGTTGTTGTTTTACAAATGAAATATAATTCGTAAAATTTCTACAGCAATTCATGAAAAGCAAAAGGCATGTTCCATTCCTCACCTTTTCATTTGAGTAGACAACACATATAGCCCATTGCTCATAAAGTTTATTTTTACTGTGCAAACAATATTGTTGCATTCTCTGATAACATGTCAATTTAGTCAATAGGGCCATGTTCCAGATAAGAATTTAAGCACTCATTTACGGGATGAGGCTCTGTTTTTTCCACAGTTCCTTGCTGTAGCCACATTGGTATCAACACGTTGACTTGAAACCTGTTTAATATCTGATACATCAACAAGTGCTTAACACTTTGACAACTATTTTACCACCTAGCATACTTGTAATTGCTAATCTATGAGGTGGAAGATACTACTGAAGTAGTATTTTACAATAATTTTCTCTCAGACCCATTGAGATTAATTTTGAGTTGCCATTTTCCCAAATCCATTCCCATTCTGTTAAACTTATATTCCACCGTAACGCCCCTTCCCATTTTCTAAACTCCACATAATTTTTAAGCTATTGCGCAAAAGTAGCATGACTGCTTAAAAAAAGATAACTGGGAGGGAGGAAGAGTCGTGTAGCAGAAGCAGTAAGGTGGCAAAAGAGAAACTTACGGGTCCTCCTCTTTTTTAGGATGGAATATGCACTCCAATGCTCAAAAGAAATTTATTTCCCATAGTGATGAATGGAAGAAAAAAGAGGAAATGAGGACATGTTGTGAGAATGGCTGATGGTTGTGCTCATTGCTCATAAAGCAATGCCGAGGCAAAGAGGCAGTCCAGAAACCAGCAAAATCAGGGAGCTGGACAGGGGACAGATTGTATTTGTCTTCAGTGTGGAAGGGATTGTCACTCTCGAATTGGCCTTCTCAGCCACACTAAACACTGTTCCAGGTCCTCCATACAGAGCACGTTACCATAGTCTCTCGAGACTGAAGGATGCCTAAAGTACTGCCAATGTTGCCCAGCACTCCATTTCCATTTGATGGGGCACATGAACCTTTGTGTAAGAAAGTGGACAGCAACTGACTCCTTAAAACCTCAATTTAAAGTTCTAGAACTGGGCAGAAATTTAGGATATGAATTGGCCCACATGGAAGTTAGACTGGCTGCATCCAGTTAGAGTTTCCAGTATTACTCTGGCAAGTCTTATGAAACTGGTTTCTAATACAGTATTAGTCATAATCTTTTATTGATTTTTTTTAAAAATAAACACTTCTGTATGTTGCTTCAGGTACCTCAGTGAGTAGAAAAGTAATTAATAAATATGTCCAACAAATGATACTTAAGAGGGTGGTAAATGTGCTTCAAGGTTGCTGACCGTAAAAGCCCTCAATCAAAGAGGAGGAGACTTTGTTCCTGAGTTTTCAGAGCAGTAACATTCAGTATTACTTACAGATAGGAAAACTAGCATATTTCATAATCACACACACACACATATATCCTGAAAAAAGAAAAGCTTGTGAGCAATGTGGTTGAAGACTGTGCTTTGATTCTGGGACACTGGCTGAAAAATTATTTTTTTTAATACATTTTAAGCCACTTACATTAATGGAAAAGCTTACTGCAGAAGCTGCATTCTGACAAGGAAGTCATTTATAAAAACCTGAACCACTGACAGAAAGCAGGGTGAGATTCTCACATGCTATTTCTGGAATATTCCTGGAGCCCAACATATTATGAACAATGGACACGTGTGGAAAGTCTAGCCCTACTGAGTACAGAGGAGGCCATAGTAGTCAAAGTATAAACAGGTCAACCAACCCACTGTAACTTTTCTTGCTCCCTGATGAACTTAGGTCTTCAAAGGACAGAAAGGATTAAGAAGATTAAGGACCTGAGACTCAGAGCACTGACAAGAGAATCTTTGAGACCGTCAATTCTTGGCAAGCACAGAGGTCAGAGAAAACACCATCCCTATTCAGATACTGGCATTAAACTTCACAGTTTTGCTATAATGTGTCTCTCTCAGAGTAGACTTCAGTCTAGACTGGCGGGGTATAAATCTAATAAATCTAATGAATAAACAAATATTTATTTATTTATTTATTTATTTATTTGATTTATATCCTGCTCATCTGGTCAAATTGACCACTCTGAGCGGCTTCCATGAAAGTATACAGTGAAGCATTAAAAAAAAATTTCAAATAAACAACACCCCATATAATAAAACAAATAATAAATGGAAAGAGAAAGTAAATTAATTAATGACAGGAGGGAAGGCCTGAACATAGTTGATTCTTAAATATGCCCAGCGTAGGGGCCGCACGAATCGCTGGAGGAAGGTTATTCCAGATATAAAATAAAAATATCTCATCCTTCCTTTTAATAACCTTTAATAACCATAGAACTGCAGAGCTGGAAGGGACCCTATGGATCGAGTCCAGCCCCTGTCAAAGAGGCCCGGAGAGGAATCAAACTCCCAACCTCTGGCTCCTCAGCCAGATACATAAACCACTGAGCTATCCAGCCATCTGGCGGTTATAATGCAGCCTTCAAAGAAATAAGAGTCAAACAAAACCCTTCCCCACAAAACCCCCTAATCATTCCAGATTAATGACCTCTAGATGAATTCTGACCCCCCTCGTTCAACTGGACATTAAGAAGAGCATCACAAGAAATCTGAGCACTGTTTCTGGAGTCTTTACCTGATGTATCCTTTTCACTTGCCCATAGATTGAGTAGTCGTCAAGGGATGATCGAGTGGTTCCCTCATGACCTGGCAAGTCAACACAAATCAAGTGCAGGTTCTTTGGAAGGAACTGCGGAGAACAAGCACTTGGTGATTAAGTTGGAGGAGGTGTTTCATCGAAACAAACTACCCGAAGCAAATCTGAACAAGCTTTGAGTCACTGCCATTATTATAAAGGCAGAGATAAATAATACAGTTTTCTCTGCGACATTATTGGACTTCTATTTTCTCAAAATGTGTTATAAAGTTTTTTTATTTAATAGAGTTTTAATATTACAATCGTTCAATTGCATTTTCATAAAACTTCCTGTTTGCTATTCTTTATAATTGTTTCTGTATCTATCATAAGCTTATTCTAAGTTGCCACGAGCAAGGTGGGCTCTATGCCACATAAATGAATGAATAAAAAAGTAAAATACTTATTCCCAATATTGTAAACTTGAGAAAGACAGTTAAGTGTAAGCTTTTGCAATAGGAAGAGTCATACCCATGTCCTTACATGCTTTTTGAAAATTCAAGAGTTTCAGCACAGGGCGTATTCATACTACTTGGAGGCACATTAGCTACATTCTACAGCCACATAAGCAACATGGCATGCTCTGTTTCCTAGCATTTGGAAAAGCAGAAGCTGGCTTCAGTGCTGCCTGGAAAACTGTGGGAATGCTAGTTCCACAAAATTGCTTTTTCCCAAGCTCTGCCCTTTTCCAAATCATATAACAATGATATTTAAATCTTAATGTACAATCTTCATATGTCTTAAGATTTAATCCTAATGTTGGCAAACAGCAGCCCCATCCAGAAATACAAGCCGCCACCACTCAACCTAAGGGTGTGTCTTTATGTGTTGCATCACAAAATAAGGAGAAAAAATTACATTGTTCAAGTATTTTCCATGCTAATGTAAGTAGCACCAACTAGTAATTTATATGAAACAAACATTACATGTATGTGTGTGTATATATATAGATGTATGTATTATCATGTATTACTCATATTATGCATTACACATTTCATAGTAAATGAAAAGTATTAAAAATACAGTTTTTGAATGTATTTCTGCTTTATTTTCTGACCGAAGGAAGACCCCCATAGTAAGCTTTTCAGTGGGCTACAAAGGCCTGATTAATGCAACTAAACATGTTTCAGCATTCCAAGACTTCATCCCTGCTTTGTCTTTTGTTCTGCTGACTGATTGCCAGCTTGGGTTTAGCCCATGCAAGAAAAAAAAACACACTGACCACATTGCCGGTCAGCTGCAGAACAGGGGCTTTGTAGTTTTAAACCCACTGCTGACATCACATGAGAATCCACAGTTGGTCATAACTCCTCAAAAGAGCAGAGCCCATTCCCTACATGGGAACTGTTTCACTGTCAGAAACATCGAGGCATACCTTAACAACAGACAGCCACATATCTTTATGGGCTGAGAAGCCATGCAACATGAGTATAGAAGGTCGGTGGCCAGGTCTCCCTCGGTAGGAGTAGCAAAACTGGTAGTCATCATAGTTGACATATCTAACTTGCATGCCCAGCGCTCGACGCCAGTACCTAGGAACATCAAAAACAGGACAGATGAGAAGAAATGCAGTGCAACACAAATATTTGAGATTTTTAGAGTTACATAAACTGGAATCCCCTTACCATCTACTGGAATAACACCCCTTTCTTTCAGAGTATTCGTCGGGAGATTTTACCACTGAAAAATGTATGAGACATTTAATCTACAGTATTTTGAAAACGTGGTGGGTTATTATATTTTGGTAAAGTGAAAAGGTTCAATGTATTAATTACTAGCTGTGTAATTATTTCTATAAGACTGGTTCATTGTCTCTGTGACAGGACAGCTGGATCCATGTGAAGCAGCTTCCTATGATGAGTCACCAACCTGCTGATCACAGGAATTAGGTGAGCACTAAGGTCCCAGGCTAACTCACCCCAGCCACCCTCTCGATTTTCTGGGACAGGAAGAAGAAGAAGCAGCTTCCTGTTTCAGAGAGGCTTTTAAAGGAATACTGCTGTCCTATGGTTGCTCTCCAGTCATGCCTTTGCTTCTAGAAATACATTTGTCCCATCCTTCTGAGTATTTCATACATCATACATGGTGGCTAGCAGCAATCAAGGAAATGAAATAGCTTTTTTAAAATTTGATTTTGTTTTGTTTCATTTTTATGCTACCTTTCTCCCTGTGGAGGGACCCAAGGCAGCTCACAAATTACTAAAACAAACACACACACACACAAAATGGTTAAAGACACAATAAGTTATTGCACTAAAAACAGCTGCACCAAAAAAGTATTAAAACAATGAATTAAAAATACCTCAGTAACACATTAACATGGAGATAGCATAAGAATGTGCAGCACCTAAAATCAGAACCCTCAAAATTAGGAAAGGAGTACGACAAGGCTGTATATTGTTTCCTTGCTTATTTAACTTATATGCAGAATACATCATGTGAAAGGCTGGGCTGGAGGAATCCCAAACCGGAATTAATATTGCTGGAAGAAATATCAACAACCTCACAT